GTTTATCTTCAATTGTGTGAAACGAAGAGGGGAAAACACAAAATTTGTTTATTTATTTGAATTAAAATGTGAAAAAAAGTGTTTGTCACTTCTTTGTTGTCTTTTGTTTTTTTTTTTTTTTTTACAAAACAGCAAGGTGCAATTATGCAACATTTTGTGAGAACTCCCTAGGGGCTACCCATATGACTCCTACGATGCCAAGGACAGAATATGTTGACCTGTGTGTGTGCTCCTTGTGGTCAGGGGAAAATGACTTACAAGAAGAATCCGTATGGTGCATTTCGGCTTTTTCATAAATGGCGGAAAGGGAAATTTAAAAAAATAAAATAATAAAATAATAAATAAATAAAGTGCGCACAATTAAATTGGGTAGAGTAAGACCAACCGTTTTACCGGTTCATGTTGATCTCTTCGCGTTTCGCATCTTCGTAGGTCCAATGTGCGACATATGCAACCTTATAGTGAAGATACGCGCAACAATCCCCCGGCGTGTGTTCCACGTGACAAAAGGAGCACCGTACCTTTAGCTCAAATGGCAACTAATCTTTGGTCAGCTTTTTAGTTAAAGACTTGCCTCTTCGTTTGTTTTGCCCCCTTTTCCTTGTAGGAAGAAGGTCAAATTCCGGCATGGTTCCTCGACTCCTTCCATGAGGCATGCGTCGGGATTACCGCGTACTGCGAGTGTGAACACATGCACAGCGTGACATCCCCTCTATGCGAAGAGGAACTGGCCACAAAAGCACGATCTAAGTGGGAATTGCAATTTGTGCTTACATCCCTCGGGAAGCCGGTCACCGATACATGTGTGACCTCGCTTACATGCTCACACTCTGACGTGCATATTTCGCCATTCTTAGCAATATGCTGAACTGAACGCGCACCACGAAATGGAACAAACATGCCCCCTGTTTTTTTCCCTCGCCAACTTAATTCTTCAGCCCTAGAAATTTCAATACATATTTTATGAGCGCGTTTATAGAGTCAACACCCCAGTTTGGTTTCCTCCACCCACCTTTGAACACGTGATCCCTTCTGCGCCTTTTTTTTAAGTCATGACCTTAGTCTACGTAACGATCGTATTCGCCAATTATCAATTTTCCACTCATAGTTTTCCACTCATAGTTTGCCACTCATAGTTTGCCACTCATAGTTAGCCACTCATAGTTTGCCACTCATAGTTTGCCACTCGTAATTTTCCACTCGCAGTTTCTTACTCCCAGTTTGTTACTTCCAATTTGTTACGCCTCTTTTTTTTTAGTGTTCATGCAACTTTAGCCAAACGCAGAAGCTTCTGCCTTTGGTTTCCCAGGCGATACTTTTTTTTCCTTACAATATTGGTTTTTGCGATGCCTCTTTTGTGCAACCCCATTTTTTGCTGACGCTTTTGCGCATTTTTGCTTCCTCCATCCGATTGTTGCGCATTGTCGTAACGCTTTGTGCCCTCTCTATCGGCCCTTTTGTTTCCCCGTTCATCCCACTCTGCGCCGCGCACCACGCCCGACTGCTCGGCAGCATGGATTTAGTAAAACACCTTAATAAAAATGAGAGGATTCGCAACATATGCATACTGGCCCATGTAGATCATGGGAAGACCACCCTGGTCGATAATCTGATAAGCTCTAACAAAATTATAAGTGACAAGAACATCGGGAAGGTGAAGTACCTGGATAGCCGCGAGGACGAGCAGAAGAGGCAGATCACCATGAAGAGCTCCAGCATCCTTTTGAAGCACACTTACAACAAGGCCTACTTGGACGAGTTGTTCCGCGACCGGGGGGGCGACCCGAAGCCGGGAGTGGACAAAGATAGGCACGTCATTAGCGCGGAGGGGAACACCTCCAACAAGCAGATTCCCACCGCGAATGGAGAAGAATTCAAACCCACTGCAGGCCCAAATGACAACGCGAGTAGCACTCGCAGCATCATCAAGAGGAGAGAGGAGACGCAGGCGTCCTCGTTCGCCTCCGCAGACGCCGAAACCGCGGAAGATAGAAACACACACCTTATTAACATCATAGACACCCCCGGACACGTCGACTTCTCCTCCGAAGTGTCCACGTGCATTCGAATCTGTGACGGAGCACTGATATTGGTGGACTGCATAGAAGGAATGTGCAGCCAAACCAAAATTGTATTCAGACAAACGTGGAAAGAAATGATAAAAAGTATTCTTGTCATTAACAAAATCGATAAGCTAATAACCAATCAAAATATGGACAGCATAAGTGCATACGAACATATAAATAATATCATCGAGCAGGTCAATGCGTACATTTATCAATTATACGTCGAAGAAAATATGAACAACGAGAATGTTGAAACGTCTGAATTGGAGAAGTACACGTATTCCCCATTAAAAGGAAATGTCCTCCTGTGTAGCAGCACACACTCCTGGTGCATAGATATGAACATCTTCTCCACTCTCTTCTGCAAAAAAATGAACATAAATATGAACAATTCTGATAAAATAAAAAAATACCTGTGGAGTCAATATTATTTCAATACCAAAGAGAAAAAAATCTTAAAAATATCAAACGATACAAGTACATACGCAGGCAACAATAGTAGTGGAAAAAAAAAAAAAAAAAAATTTATTCTCACTAGTGGTTTTAGATTTTTTATGGAAAATTTACGACATTACAACAATAAATAGGGATGACGAACAGATAAAAAAATTATGTCTCGAGTTAAACATTTCTACCTATTTTTTAAAAAAAAATCAGCAGAATAATGTCGAAAATAATACGTTCATTCTCATTTACATCATGTCGCATTTTTTAAATTTATCAAGGTCAATTTTTAATTCCTGTATTGAAATTTTTCCTTCGCCCAAAAATATGGACCCAAATAGACTCTTCAAAATTTATCCCTCATTGTATAATGAAGACATCTATCGCAACATAATTGAATGTTCCTCCTCCACGGACTTTACCATCATTTACATTTCGAAATATATTTGTGCCAATGTGCAAAACAATACTCTTATAGGCTTCCGAGGTTTTTATGACAAAAATACCTTCCTGTCCATATGCCGGATTTATGCTGGCATTTTGTACGAAAATATGTTCCTCTACATTTGCGGCAGGGGAATCAAAACTGTGGTCAAGAAGATTTACATTTGCATGGGAGGGGACCTCCTACCCATTGGCCAGGCCTACGCGGGCAACATAGTGGCCGTCTACTTGTCCATCGTCAACGTGGATGCCTCACACATGGGAGACAGCGATGGTATGGGCGGCACCATTGGTAGAACTCGAAGCAGTGGTAGTGGCGGCAGAAGCGGTAGTGGAGACCAACCCAGGGAAAACGCCAAAAGAGAGGACGATTCTACTTCCCCCTGGCGACAAGATCACCCCCGATTCGAAACAGATAATATTATGAACCAGTCGGGAAACTTTCTCCAAGGGAAAGAAACCGAAGCGGAGACCGAAGCGCAGATCGAAGCGAAGACAGAATCCGGAAGCCCCAGCAATATACCCCTAAACATAAACTACCACGATGGGGGAAAAAACGATTTGCAGTACCTCTCAAACACGCTGATGAATTTGACAAAAAACAAACGAAGTAAAAAAGAGCACAACATATTTATAATGAACAGTGATGGGGTGTTTCTAAACAAAAATATCACTTTGTCCAATTACAAAAATGCGGACTCGTTTATCCTGCCCTTCACGGATACATGCTCAACCATACTGCATACCATAATCGAACCGAAGAACATTCAAGATATGAATAAATTTTTGTACGGCTTAATCCTACTCTACACATGTGACACATCCATCGACATCGATTTTAACGAAAGGGGGGAATACATTCTCAAGTTCTGTGGAGAAATACACATGCAGAAGTGCCTCTCCGATTTTGTAAACATTTACAGCAACATCGAAATTAAAACGTCCGACACGAATATTTCCATTAGGGAAGGAATACAAGAAAATGTCGTAAAGGTAAAAAGGAAGAAAAATAAAGTACAAGAAAGTATGAAAGATTTGCACACACATTATATCAAAATTAGCATGGACAATCAAGTCAAGTGCGGGAAGTGTTCTGCAAGTACGGAAGGTCCAAAAGAGGCCAACAATAGAGGTATCCCAGATAGTGACAGTGGAAGCGTAAAGGGGATAGAAAAAAGTGCCTCTCATAATACCGTCGATGATGACCGCGAAAGAACCAACTGTAACAATCCACGTGGCTACAAAATCGAACAAGCAGACAACCATTCGACAAGCATCTTCAGACACATCCAGCTCGAAAAAGAAAATCACTTCCTAAACATCCTTTTCAATTACAGTCACAACATAATCTGCCAAAAGCTAAACAACAACTCCTTTTACGTTTTTTTAAGTGCTCTAAATATGCCCACCAATTTGCTCAACTTTTTTGATAAACATTATTCAAATATACAAGCCGTGTTAGAAAACAGGTCCATATCTCCCTGCTTTTTAAATTATGACAAGACTGATTCGTCCAGCACAAATGAACACGTCATGTACAAGCAGTGTCTGATCAACCTGGAGAGGTGCGTCAACGATTTGTGTTTCTGCGACGAGGCAGTGGAGGACAAGTCCTGCGCCCCCGCGGGGTTGGACGGAGCCGATACGGGAAAAAGCGCTGTCAGTGGTGTTAGCGGTGTTAGTGGTGTTAGCGGTGTTAGCGGTGTTAGCGGTGTTAGCGGTGTTAGGGGTGTTAGCGGTGTTAGGGGTGTTAGCGGTGTTAGGGGTGTTAGCGGTGTTAGCGGCGTTAGCGGTATTAGCGGCATCAGCAGCATCAGCGGCATCGGAGGCGTCAACCCCGTTGGCATCATCGACAGTGTGAGGGAAGGCCCCGCGCCTGGCCCCCCCTGCAGCGAAGAGAAAGCCAGCCAGATGCGCAAGAACAAGAATTACCAACTGGAGCTCTGGGACGTGTGCGTGCAAAACGGAAGCGTCACCCTGCTGTACATCAAAAAATATTTTAGCAAAAAGAAAAATGACCAATACTTGCTAGACAACATCATAACGAATGAGAAGTACAAGGAGATAATTAACCAGAGGTCCTTCGTCGACACCTACCTCTCAGACACCAACAGCGACGTAAACATCTACTTGAACAATTTATGCCTCGGATTTAAGATGGCTTCAAAATATGGCCCCATCGCCCAAGAGCCTATCAGGTAAAAAAAAAAAAAAAAAAGAGACAGAGAGAGAAAAACCCTACTTGGTAAAGCATAGCAGGGGTTCATATCCTGGCAAAGGAGCGGCCATCTTAAACCCCGAGTACCACGTTGCGAACAACATATTCTATCCTTTTAACATAACGAGATTGCCATTTGGGATGTCTCTACTACATTGATACTGTTTGTGTGTTCATATGGACATAACGCTGGAGCCGCGTAGCAGTGGACGGTTATGGCACTACCCCACACAAATAGACATACGCAGCGTATGATCCCCCTCCCTACCGCTTCACCCCCTATTGGCCCTCCTCCCTACCCCCCTTGCAGAGGATCCCTGTTCATCATCGAGGGCCTAATAATTGACGAGGCAGAAAATGGAGACCTAATAGAAGACGTAAACCCAGAGGAAGAAAATAGTGAATATAAAATTAACGCAGGGAATATCATTGCACTAATGAAGGAAGCTTGTTTAAATGCTGTCCTACAAAATAAACTACGCATATTCGAACCCATGTTAAGATTAAATTTGACATGTGAGAGCAACGTCCTGGGGAAAGTCTACAACGTTCTGCTCAAAAGAAGGTGCTCAATTTTATCAGAGGAAATCAAAGATGGCTACTTTCTATACTGCATAGATGCCTACCTCCCTCTCTTTAATTCCTTTAAGTTGGCAGAAGAGCTAAGGTCGAAATGCTCTGGAAATGTTATTTATGATATCCAGTTCAGCCACTGGAACAAGCTGAACGAGGATATTTTCCTGTCAAATGATACCTCCACTGTCGTCTACGACGAAGACTTCGACGTTAAGTTGATGGATAACACGGCCACAGAGATTGTTAACTTCATTCGGAGGGCGAAGGTGAGCGATTGCGCGTGGGCGCTTTGTAGAGGGCGGTACTTTCTTCCTCAAAAAAGAAAAGAAGCACTGTGACACGGGGGGAGGCTGCCCAGGCCATCGCCCGTATCACTGCTTCTATCACTCCTTACGTCACCGCGCCTGAATGCTTACACCCCTTTGACGTGAAAACTTTCCCACCTCCTCAGGGCCTAGAAACGAAGGAGAAGATAATACAGAAGCCAGAGAAGCAGTGCACCCTCAAAAAGTAACACCCGCGGTAGCCATTTGGAGCACCTTACGATACTTCACTCGGCTACTCTACCCCAACGACGTCGTCTTTGCCATTTTTACGTGATCCATTTAAATGGGAAAATTCTTTACCCCTTCACAAACTGCTAATTTGTGCCTTTGCATCAGTCATATTGGTAAGTGTTGTGTGCCTACCGAGATCTAGGCCTGGTGACGCATTAGCAGGTAGCTATCAGTAGGTACATATGCACCCCTACACCACATACCTTCTTCAGTTTGCCTTTTCATCCTCTTCCCTTTTTTCTTTTTTTTTTCTTTTGGTAAACCTTTTAAGATTCCTCAAACCATTTGATTAACCCAATGTCTTGCACCTGTTATTATCGACGCTGCGATTCATTTGCACTTGCGTGTTAGTGTTACCATCTACCACACGGAATGGTAACATTTTGGTCAGAGACTGTAAAGCTCGATTCAACGCGTTGATCCAGTTGTGAGCGTCACGTCAGTGCACTGACATGTCGGCTTGCATGCCCCTCGGAGGAATGTTACCATTTCTCGTTCCATCGGTGCCTCCTTATCACGCTTTCCAAATTAACACGAACTGGTCGATAGGCCCTGTCTGCGGTTTCGATTGACGTTCACTTCGCGCAACTGGCTGTCTCTTCACGCGGAGGGTGTACAAAAAAAGTTACAAAATGTGACGAAAAAAAATAATTTTTACACGGACACAAAATGCTAGGCACATTATGGGCTACCACCTCGTTACATGTGTGGCCATCTTATAACAAAAAGAAAAAAAAAAAAAAAATTAAAAAGGGGGTACAGCGGGGATAAAAACGTTGTATAGACGCAATAAAGGAGTCACAACCTGGTCAAAAGCCGGTCACAAGCCGATCACAAGCGCACCTCCGAATCGCTGGGGCATTCCAATTCAGAGAACCATCCTACCTACGCGCAGCGACCAACTCGAAGACGGCGTCACAAAAATTTGTTCAAAACTGCCGTTATGCTGTTATCAACGTGGTTGTTCTTTTTCTTGTTTTTATTTTTCTTCTTATTTTTGACCTTGGTTAGGTCCTTTTTAACGGCCCTATCACATGCATCATTTGGTGTAGCATCATCGGGTACATGGTTCGTGCACGCTTCATTCTTGTCAACAGTTTTGCAGCACCTGTAGCCCCACTTCTTTTTCTCTGTGTCGTAATAGGAGCCATAAACGGCTTTGTGATTTTTTACAAAAACATCTTCACTATATTTTGACTTGACAAATAATTTGTTACAGGTTGTCTCCGTTGCATCATTACCATTTTGGACATTTAACCCCGGATGAACACTCACTACTCCGTTGGCCTTTCTTTTTGAGCTTCCTCTTTTACCTTCTCTGTTAATACTGTACAGATGATGTTGTGGATCATTTTTACATCCTTCTTCCTGCTCATTCTTCTTAAGCTGCTGTTTTAAAACGTACAGCTTGTATTGTTCTTCCTTTTTCTTCAGATATTTTTCTTCTTCTTCCTTTCGCTTTCTTTCCTTTTCTTCAGCTAGCCATACTCTTTCGAGGTTTTTTATGTTACCTGTGGGGTGGGGAAATGGATCATTAGTGGGAAGAATTCCTTGTAGACGGGGAACAAGACTGGAAAAGGAGTCTTCCTCCTCTGCGTGAGCGCCAACTGGGACATCCAGAAGTATTATGCCTATTTTACGCTAATGCGCTGCGTGCAGGGCCGTGCTTCCGGAGGGCCTCCCCGCCTCAACAATTTTACCTGGGTGGAAATGCTTGTGGTTTATGAAGGACGCACTCTTATTACCAATTTTGTTTATCCACATTTTTTTTTTTAGCAGAGCTGGAAGGGGCAACTGGCCGAAGGGGTAACTAGCCGAAGGGGTATCATGACATATGTTATATCTATGCAGTTACGTCTGAACTATTGCTCTCCTTTGGTGTCTCTCTTCCTTTCGCGTTTCCCCTATTTATGCTACTTCTTCCTCCACTTCGCTTTCCTTTTCCACTTCTCCTACAAACGGGGGGACTTGGCAATTCGCTTTCTCGAACTTTCGCGCTCACCTCTTTTAGGCAAACTTGCCGCGGGAAATTTTCCCGCCCAGGTGTTTAGATGATGAGATGGAAAAATCGGCCGTTCAGAGGGAAGCAGCAAGGGCGGGGGGGTAGCGAAAAATTGCGAGCTAGTAAAAAAAAAGAATAAATAATAAAATAATAATATGCATATATATATTTATCCGTACATCCGTGCTATGCTCAACGGGCGCGGCAATCCCGTCGTGAAGAGGAAATTTTTTTAAATTCGCGATCGCGCGCCGAGGGAAGCAACAGCTGGGAGGCCATTTAACTCGGGGGCCATCACATGTAACCCCATTCTGCATAATTTCGCGTGACAGTTGTAACTATCTCTACGTGATTAAATTTTTAGTGTGTTCCAGGAGAAAGAAAAGCACAACACAGTTTTGAAAATAGCCCTTGGATAAGTGCTCCTTTAACTGGCTCCCAAGGAGTTGATGTCATCATCCAGGGAACGCATCAATTATTTACATGTTTGTACATGCTCGTATAGTGACCTCCATTTGGGAAAAAAGCACAGGGAGCAAGTACAATTCTGCAGAAATGAAAATTAATGGAATGTAATGACGTAATCTTCTGAACGAACTGCAGCAAGTTCTGTCCAAAAAAATCGTCCTTTGTGAAGGGTTAACATCGCTCATTGTGCATCGAAAAATGTAAAAAAAAAAAAAAAAAGGAAAGAAAGAAGAGAAAACCAAACAAAACAAAAGATAAGAAAAAAGAAAAAAAAGAGCGATTTGTTAGAAAGGCAAAAAGGGACGTATATATATACATATTTGTCTATATGGCCCACATGGGGAAGCTCCTTCTGCCGAAAATGACACTCAACATTCATTTTGTTGGGAAGACACCTCTGCTAATTCATCTGGGTGCAGAACAGTGTAAGCAAATCGCTATGTTCATGAACTTGGCAGCGCTCATATGCCCCCACACACTAGAGATTAACGCAACATGAGCTTATAAAATGCCAGCTCTTCCATTCTCACCATCTGATTTGCACCACTTTTTTTTTTTTTTTTTTGGGAACCATTAAATGCTCATTTCGGTAACCCAGTTAGCAAAAAAGTTCACCTCCAGAGCACCTCAACCGCTGTTGCAGAAGAGGCAACAAAATATCATATCTTGTCATAAGAAAAACGGTTAAACGATAGTACCGCCTACTTCACTTCGCTTCAGTAAAAGGGACGCATGTCCTCTAAGATGAAACGTAGGAAGTTCGTGTTTATCAACTGAAACGTGGGAAATATACACACGGCGAAACACGTCATAGACGCGTTCTCCAAATGAAGAAGCTTCCTAGGGTTAACAGGTCAGTTCCACAGAAACCGCCCAAGATAATTACAACCGAAATGGTATCATTTGAGCCATCCCAATTGGGGGGTAAAATTGGACAGTATGAAATATGCCCACATGTGGAAATAAAAATGAGAGACCCCTTAAAGTGATCACAAGGGGGTAGTGGTTGAAGTGAATGAACAGAAACCTACCGGTTAGTAAATTCTCGGGAATGACTTTAAATGCACAATTCGCACGTCAAAATCATCATTATTCAAAATGGGCACACGTACAAGCACAGTCGCGCATATGAACGCAAAACAGAGGGAGAAATGCTCTCACGTGAAATTTCAAAGTATGTGACTTCTGACTAACCAACTAATAGGTTTGCCTTTAAAAGCCATGGCGCATCATAGTACGTAGGCACCCTCTTCACACATGGGAAATATTTTAAAAAAAACGTTGCGAATATCATTGGGCGACTCTGTACGCATTCGTCCTTGTTAACTTTCTGTCGTTTCGGAACCGGACTAAAGGAAAAAAAAAAAAAAAAAAAAGCAAAATGTCAGGTTCATATGTGGGCATCTCTACAGGTGCACCTTAAAACAGGCACAGAATTGCAACATGAACATATCCAAAGTGGACAAAAAATGGTCAAACAGTGTTCACATCATATAAGCATAAAAATGGCCTTATATGGCACCATTAAGCGCAATAAAAAGGAGCCAATTTGGAGTATCAATCTGTTTATGTGGTATTTATGCGCTACAGCTATTATGTCCACTTTTTTTTTCTTTTTTTTTTTCGCAATACCTCCTCTATTTCGTATTTCCACAAGTTAGTGTTATTGTACACCATGTGGATCGTGTGAAGGAACAGCTGAAAAATGTAAAAAGAAAGTTATGACCATCCATTTGATAGTGCCTACGGTTAATTACTTAGATGCTTAACCGTTTGGACACGGCGTCCATTCAAGAAGTTTCCCCCTCTGCGCAGTTTGGAAGGGGAGAAATGTGAACAAGTGTGTATGTACATATATGGATATATACATATAAACACACGCGCGCCGTGTTATTTCCACCTTTTTGACGTTCCTTCCCGTTATTGCCGATGTTAGCCACAGTTGAACCATGTTCTCGGTGCTGTGTACAGGGGGGAAGAGGGTGGGAGTTGTATGCACGTGAGTATAAAAAAGGAAACACAAGGCTGTATGTACTCTTGTTCATGTACGTACAGAATTACTTCTCACAAGTTTCCCCTCTGAAAAGCCCAGAAAAAAAGACACGCAAGAATCACGCAAAGGAATCGCGCTCTTAAGCTTAAGGAGCAAAAAATATAAGCCTTACGCGAAGTTCTCTGCTTGCCTAACTAACTCACAATCTTCCGTGACCAAATCTGACATAAGGAAAAAAGTGAAATAAAATATGAGCAGACGCGTAGGTGCCTCTCTATGGTGGTCTGTACATACAGGTACCCCTCATTATGTACGCATCAATTCCGTTATGATAAAAAAAAAAAAAAAAAGGATCACCATATTTATTCCCGACAAGGGATATAAACGGTTTTAGGGTCTAAAAGGGGGAACATTGAATGGAGGTAATATGGGAGTGCAGCAACAGGCGCAGCCACAGCAACCACAGCAACGGCAGCCACTACTGTAGCACGCTCGCCGAAAACAAGAGCACACGTTCTTTCGAATCGCCTTTTGATTACATGATGTCGGTCAAATACACTGGACATGCTCGCGTAAATCATCTTCACATATTCGAGAGTGGACGCGTTCGTGAGATCGAAGACTAGAAAGTAGGCCATCCTTCCTGAGAAAAACGCACACAAACGTGGAGTCATATATGTGTACTAGCAAACAACACACCGTCGTGAAGACCTCCTTAACAGCATGCTCATCGACTCATTTTCACTTTTTCTTGTCCCTCCCTTTACCGTAGCTGATTGAGTTGTATTGGTCTCCCCATTGAAAAGGAATGGTCGGTTTGTCAAATAAACTGAACACAGGATTTCGCATACTTCTACTATCCGTCGTAACTGTCAAAAAATTCGTGGACACAAAATTTGATGTAACGAATGAACGAAAAAACATTTTGCTCAGTTTCACGCTAACGCCTTGGCGGGCAGAAACATGTATCTTCATTTGCACAAATTCACCTGATTCGTTGATACATTTTAGTTAACACTTATTTGTGCAAAAAAAAAAAAAAAGAAAAAAAAAAAAAATTCAGTACTTTCCCTCCTGAGCATGTTCATAAAGACATTCACATCCACGTTAAGAGATGTATCTTCAATCTCAACGCAGAAGCTTCTATTTTTCTCCTTGTGTACTTTGTAGTATACGCTTCAAAATGGTGAAAAGTTAATGTGAGGTAGTAACACCACGCCGTGTGCCCTCATGTGTGCAAATGTTTTGCGCCCACATTTATGTATGAACATATTTTCAGTCACTGGTAGGGGTGTACCATAAGGCACACATCGCCTGCGCATTACGTTGGTAAATCCGTGTGGACATAATTGCTATAGATGTCATTGTTCATAATGGAATTGATTAGAGCTGTTTTCCCGGTGTTCAAATAACCCAGGACTGTCAGTTGCAGGAAAATCATTTTTTATTTCTGCGTTTGAAAGACACACACGTTTGGGGAAACCAATTGTGTGTTACCACATATACACGTTTTGTTTCAAAATGGGGAATTAGGAACGACAGTTTGACGTGTTGGGCTTTAGGCTGCCCTTGGTGTTCACCAGTTCTTCACCCGTTCGCTGACCCGTTCCTTCTCCCTTCACCTCCCATGCGTACTGAACAGTTGCTAGTAAATGTTGCCAGACTCGTGGCCGCCATGTAATACCAATCAGCCGTTTAACGAAGAAATGTCATAGTGAAACTATGACCAAATTGACAACATATTTGGACGTACTTAAAAATGGCGCAAACATAGTGCTACGTTATAGCTAAAAAGTTACAACGATAATGAAAAATATGAATTGTATTTTTTTTTTTCACTCCATATTTGGCAGGAGTATTCTTCGTTGCACCGCAAAGTAGCCCCTTAATGCGCATTTTTTGCCCCTTTTTTTTTTTCTTTTTTCTTGGTGTGCGTGTGGTGGGATACTTGCGCGGTGCTAGAAAAACTACAAATGGACAAGTTTCGCTCTGTATGCTAAAAACAAAATTGAAGTGAAAAACTTGAAAAAGTTTCACTAGTTCCACACCAACGGAATAAGCAATTCGTGCAATTCCACATAGTGGCAAAAAAAGGCGCCACGTGCAGGGTTAGCGGTGGGAGTAGACCTCTACGCGCGCTATAAAGACGATAAACCGGGAAGCCGCCAAACGGCGTAACGAGGCACCCGACGTTACTGCCGCCCCGCATAACCACTGCACAGAATAACCCCGTGTCCACTCGGGAGCAACTCCCCTTGAGAAGTGCCAAAGGTGAACATTCATTTGCCCCGCACATTTTCACGCGCAGCTGTTGAGGTAGTGGAAATTTAAAAAAAATTAATTCCCAAATGCTTTACGAAAGAAATGCAAAAAGAAGCGCGGGACATTTTTTTCGTCAACCCTCCCTGAACTTTCCCCCACGTGGGCACTTCCTCAAAAGACATTTTCAAAAACGACAAGCAAGGACAAAGTAGCAAATTCCACAGCAACTTCCTCAGGAAAAATGATGAACCTAAATGTAAGAGGCGAGTGCCTGCATATGTGTGTGCAATTCAGCACCTATGTTAGCATGTGCGATCCATTTGCATTCTCACACATTTCAAGACGCGCAACGTGTCTCCTGTACCAATTCGGCAAGAGTAGTCCTATCCTGATAGAGTTGTTCCAAAGGCAACAGCGCAAAAGTGGTTGCCAAAAAGTTGCCTCAAAGTTGCCGTAATGTTGCCTAAAAGTTGTCGTAAAATATGGCTGTGCAAATGATTTATCTTCCCTTTTTTGAGGACCATAATGAGTCATTTAGCTTTTTTTCACCACTTCGAAATGAAGAAGTTTGTGTGAACACCTGCTTACCATGCTGCTTCTTATGTTTCCCCCTTGCAGGAAAACACAGACATTAACAAACTGATTGAGGTAAATCATCCATCAACTGACTTTTCCAAAGATAGACGACTGGACAAGCTGTTGGTGCAGCATACATGACATGCGAGATTGCAACATTGCACACATTTGTGGGGGGCATCGGATTAGTTTTTTTTTTTTCTCTTTTTTTTTTTTTTTATTTTTTTATTTTATTTTTTCTTTTTAAGGAAAGGAACGAATGGATAAAGAAGTATGAATCCGTTGAGTCCGAATGTGCAACCTTGAGGGAAAAGTTGCATAGGATCACTTTGAACAGCCCTGACAAAAATGAGCAGTTGCATGGGAACGACGCCATACAGAGGGACATTTCGATGAAGTACAAATATATGGTAATGAAAAGGGGCAAACGTGATGTTCGTTCTGCTTGGATGATGCTCCTGCACCGCCCCATCTCACCGTTCCTCCTCCCACACTGCAGCAAAACCAGTGCGAATTCCTCAGCGTCCAGCTGAACATCCTTACCCTGGAGAAGGATAAAGAGGAACAGAAGAACCAAGACCTGCAATCTACGATCGAAAAGCAGAAAAACGAAATAAAGGGGTACAAGAAAATTCTTGAAAAAGTAAAAAATATGAACATCTCCTTCAGAAAAGAGAAAAACGAAACCGAAAAAAAAATTTGTACCATTAGAGACAGCGACTTATTGATCAGAAATGACAACATTCTCCTCAAAGAAATAGTAAAAATAAATGACAAGCTGATAGAGGTGAATGAAAAAATAAAAGACAACGTTGAGGAAGAGCTCAACAAGGCCAAAACAAAACTGTCCGTGGCCCATGACAAAATTGGGCGCTTCTCCGAGGCAGTGAATCATATGAGGGAGAATTTTACCAAGTACAAAAAGAGGAAAGAGAATATTTTGCTAAAAATACTAACAGACAATGAACAGTTAAAAAAAGAATTGTGGGAAAAAAAAATCACCGAGCAACGCAACGTCGAGTGGAACAACCAATTGGAAGAGTACATCACAGCCAAAGTCTTGCTGAATTTTTACGAGGCCAAATACAAAATGAGCGATTTCGTCCTACACACTGTGCTGAGATATGTTATCTCCATGGACAGTTGGGATAATGTCGCCGGTGGAAAAGCCCTTGAGTTGGAAAGGGCCGATGAAGGGGATGCAAATTACTCCATTTTGAATACCCTCCTGGCAGTGCCTACCGGGGGCAAAGAGAAAATAAAAACGGAATGGCGCTCCGAAAACGAAATCTACGACGAGCAAATGAACACCCTAAAGAGAGATCTCCTTTCGGACAATTTCCCACAGAGGCACCAAAAAAGTAGCAAGCGGGATCCTCCCCCCGAAGCAGAATTTTCGGAAGACGAAAAAGATGGTAATAACTCCCTGGAAGCATTCATACGTACAACCCCGAACACATCAAACATTGTAAACGATATATACTACCACATGAAGCTGGTGAAGGACATCTTAGAAACAGCCAACGTGACGCTGATTCTGCTTGTGTACACACACGAGACGTACCTAAAGGAGCCGCTTAACCACATCCACCAGGATGCGTACATCCAAATGGAAGAAAAGGGGAACCTACGATTTGGTGCCTACTTTTTTACCTCTCTCTCGAACTTTCTCCTATCCGTCTTGAAATACGTCAATATAGTTAGAGGCACAGACAGACACGCCCACGTCGCACTACTACAAGAGAAACAGGTATTTACATTGTTCTGTTTATGCAAATATGTACTGGAGGAGTACGTCGAAAAGATAAGAATTAAACTGTTCACGTCGACGATTGATTACCACATATTGGACGTGCTGAGCGATAAGCTCAGGGGCATCTATGACGAGGTCTTTCCCCACGTGGTAAGGGGAAACACCGACGGGGGGGAAGAAGAAGAAAAAAAACACCAAAAAGAAAAACAAGAAGAAGAACAACAAAAGGGAGATACCGCAGATGGACAAGTCCTCCCAACGGATGTCGCACCAAAAAGTAGTAACCATATGGGGAGGAAAAAAAAAACGCATGATGAGGCAAAAAACACCAAATTGATATTCTGCAGGGGTAACCAAAATAGGGATGGCGACTCCTCCCAGAAGGGATGTTCTCATCAAGAATCTGCTGAGGAAACCACCTCGCTTGACGTCCTGGGACACTTAAATCTCGCCACGGGGTTGAGCATCACGTTAATAATCGACCAGGATGTCTACTGTGATGTGTTCCCCGATACGAATGTCAACCAGCAGAAGGAAATAATAACGAAATGTCAAGAGCTGCTCAAATTAGTGAAGGCACCCCTAAAAATTAGCAATTTTCATTTCCCCTTAAAGAGGTATAAATTTTCTTTTAAAAATTTTATTAGGCACTGTGAAAGGTACCAAACGGTGGTGATGAGCAGTGCGAACGGAGGAGGCAATACCACACATGGACGTACCAACACTGAATACACAATCAACCAGGTGAGTGTCTCCATGCTGGACGAACTGAAAAGTATACTGGAGGATATCACTAAGGTCTACTCCATCGACGCGCAGGAACCGGGCGATCCATACATACTACAAATATGCGGCAAACTGGTAAAGCTTTACCGAAACCAAGTGGCCGGAAGGGGGAAACAATGCAAAGAGCAACAGGGAGAGGAGGACCTAAAACGAGATGAACTAATAACACAGTTACAAGACGAAGTTACACTGAACAGAGCCAAAATAAATGCACTTAACAAACAGCTGAACCTACTTACCATAAGGGAAGAAAAATACAACAAAATCAGCATCGATTTGAATGTCCTAAAGAAGGAAAAAAATGAGTATCTAAATCTAATCAGGGAACTACGCGAAAGCAAAAACGAAAACGTAAGTGAAATCTCGCATCTCACAAAACATTACAATGATGTTAAGAAGAAGTATAATGACATGTTGAAAAATTATGAACACAGGAAGAAGTTTTATGCCATCCAGAAACAAATGGAACCGTCCAACATTGACACCTATTACATGAAGAAAATTATAAATAATCTCTACTACGAGAATTTTTTGACCAAGCTGGGTACACACTACCGCTTGTTTGGGCAATCGCCGCTGCCCTGCGATGAGACCTTCTGTGCCCCCTTTTCCCTCATCGGTGCAGGTAGGAAAACTCCCTTTGGGCCCACGCCACACCTGCCGCTATGCACACATCACGAAGAGGATGGCATATCTTCCTTAACAAACCAAATGGGCCCCAACCAAAAGGGATCTTCGACAAACGACACCTACTTCACGAACGAGAAGCACGCCACCCTCTACGACGATATATACAATTGCGAAATAATTAAAGGCAGAATTAATCGTGCCCAAAAGGGTTACTTTAAGAACAGACTCTACCGTACCAACACCACTTTGCGGCAAATGCCCACCTGTCGCAAAGAAGAAAAAAACACACAAGACATAACGGACATCATTGACATAATCGAAGAATATAAAAATTTAAAAAATGAAATTTTCACCCAAATGGTGAACACTCCAAATGGGACTAATTGCATCTTAAGGGGGGGAAAAAAAAAGGAACAACAAAATTGGGCACGCTTGTCGGAAAAAGTGGCTCAACTAAAATATGCAATAAGGAAATTTCACGCCGACAACAAGAGGTCAGGGTTAAATGGAGGTCCTCCTCCCTCCGCCCGAAATGTCCTCACCATTTCGTTTCGGGATAGGTCGGACAGTTGCCACGATGGGGACACTTCGGGGGATCACACAACCACAGAGGGGCATCTCACCACAGATGGATACCACGCAACTGAAGGCAAAGCACAACAACGCTGCAACAATGTTATACTCACCGAACAGTCCTTTTCCTACCTCCTCCACAATATGTTCGATTTGTGAGCCGCAAAAGTTAATCCTACCTTTTGTCCGGTTCGGCTTACATGCCTCCGGGAGAATATATGTGCACCATAAGTTTACTCCCCATGACAAAGCCTCGCCAACTTTTATTTTTTTATTTCTTTTCCTACCATCTAATCCATGTGTAACAACCTCTGTGACGGTGCCGTTTGGCGCAGAATACGCCTTGAGAGATTCACTGACGTTCTGCCCTACTGTATTGACAGATTTGAAGTGATTCATATGTGCGCCCCACAGTATTCACCTCTTCAATGGAGGAACTTACTGTGGTAGTTCTTCTCATCGTGGGGGCATCAAACAGAAGGGGGTGCATATGCGCACCTAATTAGGCCTTCTGCTCGTTTCTTCCTTTTTTCCTTTTCATTTTATTCTATTTATTTTACTTTATTTTATTTATTTTTTTTTTTTATTCATGTGGACCCTTGCGTCAGAACCTTTTTTTACTATCTAACCGGATTTATGTTATTGCCGCCTCTGGCACGCCATGGCGCACCGTTAAGATGCGCCTCTGCAGAGCTGTGTAGGCGTCCGCGCGGAGATCCTTCGAGGTACAAGCGAATTTATCTGCCCACCCGTTTATGCATAAATCTATTTATGTATTTATGTACATATGTATATATTTTTTTTTTTTTTTTCCGCTGTTCCGAACTACTCTGCCCAATCGGCGTAGTCCCTCATACCAGCATTCAATCAACTCGCATTGAGAAAAAATTAACATCGGGTGGAAACCTTCCCCTACATCTGTGTCCCCCCCCCCTCGGAGAATGTAACCGCCGCATCATACCCAGAGCACTCGAGGGAAGGGAAAACACATTAATAGGGAAAAACGGACTCGCCAATCAGTGCGTCCGAATGGAACCTAACACAACAACGGGATAGGTACCCCAAATTATGGAAGCTAGCCGAGATTCCCCTACGGGATTGTAAATTCCTAAGCGAAGAGGTAACTGATTGCAGGATCCACTTCCAATAGGGGCAGTAGCAGCACAGTGCGTCGTCCCTGTCCTCGCCTCTACACCCTTTCAAAATGAAAAAAGGCAAACTCCTCGCGCTATCCCAGAGAGGCGAACCCGCCAGGCAGAGGCGGAACTGCCTGTTCGTCCTTGCCGTGAGGCGGAGGTACGAGAACATGAGGACGGTTCTGAAGGAAAGCCAAAGAGCGCAAGACGATGCCTACGCAGAGGAATCTCACTACCATAAAGAGGAAAAAATAAGCCAATCGATTAAACAAAGAGATAGCCACACGCACAACAAAGCACGAGAAAATATTTTAAACTACTACGATGAGAATAAAAATGTGATAAAGACAACGAACTACATTTTGAGGGAACACTTAAGTCGTTTCATTTACATAAACCAGAGGAGCTGTTTTTATAACTACTTTTACAACGCTTTCCCATCTGTCCTGAATAATTATTTGAGACGGGTTAAAAGGGGAACAGAGAAAACCGGCTTGGGAGACATCTCCAGGAAGAACGGTGACCATGTCGGTGGGGCGGAAGCCGACTGCCCCGCCGCTTCGGTCGCTTCGATCGCTTCTGTGGCTTCCATTGCGTCCACCTCCCCAAAGGAGCCTCTTCCCCCAAGCAGTAATAGTAATGACGAAAGGAAGCGATCCCTAGGCATTCTGCACTACTACAACGCACACACGAAGCACGAAATACAGACAGACCATTTTATCGACTTAATTAGCCAACAGGTAAAAAACTGCCTTAACAACGCCGGCGAATTGCTAAGGAGCATCCATGAAAACGTGCACTGGCGCAGCATGAAGATGAAGAGCGCAGATCTGCACAAGCTGGAGGGGATCTTCCAAAAGATAATGGAACGAACAAGTGAAACAAACGATGTAAATAAAAAGGTGGAAATTCTGCTCTACCTATCCAATGTATGTAATCAGAGTGCCTTTCCAAAGATCCACGCGGAGGTTAAAAAACGCATACAAGAAATTTACGAACATATAAAAAAAAAAAACAAAAAGGGAGTAGACGAATTGTACATTTTATTCCTCCTCTATAAACAATTCCTCTCCTGCAAAAATGAATGTTGAAACTTACCTATCGGAAGAAGTTTCCTTCTACAATTATTTAAAAAATGAAAATATAAACATGTGTCTGTTGAGCTTAATATATCGCGATTTGTCTTTTCTCAAAAATGACCAAGTCAAGTACGTCCTCATGAATTTAGCCTTTTCCAAAATGAAAGATTCGTTTTTTTTCTCCAAAGCAGGGGAACACCCGGGTAGTAACAACAATGGTGGGAGTAAAAACGCAAGTGTACTCGACCCAGCAAGGGCAAATGCGCATACCAACTTGGTACTAACATTCTTCAGCAACACCCTCTTACGAAACAACTTCCTCCAGTTCCTGCAGAATGATTACATAAGCTCTGCACACAGCACTGTGAACTACACAAGTAGGGTAAACCCAACCAACGTAAACAATTACATTTTTTACAATTTGCTCATCTCAATTGTTCAGCTGAAGGAGTCACAATCCAAATGGCATGATGCCATAATGAAAAAGAAAATGCAGCTTTTCCTGTGGATTGAAAAAAGCAACACTACAGTAAACGAATTATGGGGAATGAAAACTCATGCTACTCACATTAACGATTTTATCCTAAATAATGTCCTTTTTTTTACCTCCCATTTTGTGAAACATAAAATAAATTTCGCACCTAACATGTACCTCTACATTCTCAACGTGTATTGCGACCTCTTCGATATGATGAGAGGATTGGAGCTTTACACAGGGATTAAAAAGAAGAAAAACCTACTCAGCGACGCCAAGCAAATTGTAAATTATGTAATTAACGAAATGTATAAACAGATAAATTTATATACCCTCAAAGAATTCATTGCTCTGTGTGCCATGATTGATAAGCTACCTGCAAGTTTCACCTTCGAGCTGAAGAACGACGCTGACCATTTGCGCCTTAAAGTGAAAAATGCCTTCTACAGAAATGGCAAAGGGGAGAACGGCGAAGCAGCCGTGGAAAACGAGGGAGACGCACACCTACGGCGTATTCTGTACGTCCCTTATAGCCAAGCGAGTAGGAAGACCCCCGAACGGGTAGCAGAAGAACAAATCGCTGCATCGGGTGGGGGGCCCATTCTGGAGCAGCACACCGGGGCAACTCTGGGCAACCACCAAATGGGCGACCCGTGTCAGGGGAAGGAGAGCCCAATGGACAAAAAGGATTCACCAAATTATGTCGACTTTTCCGCTGCACCTACCAACGCCGCCAACAACGCCCCTACCCTCTCTGATGCCGCGCCCCCGTTAGGCAACCCAACGGAGGATCCGCCCACCAGCAGATACGGCACCGTCAAAGCGAAGAAAAAATCGACCATAATAAATAAACACGACTTCACCATCTTGATAGCTCTCTCCCTTTTCAACGAAATTAATGACGAGTTTATTGTCCAGATAAGACAAAGAGAGGGGGGAATTCCCTCGTCCAGTGGAACCATGACGATCTCCGATGACGCGATGTTCGAGCATATTTACAAAAATCACTATGAATCGTTTCTGCGTAACTCTGATTTATACATAAACCATGTGGAGAAAAATTACGAACCGGCCACAGTAGAGCAGCTACTAAACTATTTTATCCTATTCACACACTTAAACCAGCTGGATGTGTCCAACCTGTGTGTCCTCATGAACATCATGAGGGAGATCAACAAATTGCAGCCCTTCATCGATTTTTTCATTGCCAAGCGGGTTGAAGAAATGTTAAGAGACAGAGGCATTGGAGGGGGTGAACACAGTGGTAGCAGCCTGGAGTCAGATAAAAAGGGGAAGATGTACCAATTTACGGACTCCTACTTGGATGACTATATATCCAGAATTACCGACGGGGGGAAAGAACACGATGAAGGTGAAGTGGCATCTGTGCAAAGCGATAGTGAAATCATCACCCAATGGGAGGAAGGTCAAAACATATTCCGCACGCCACAGGGGAAGAACCATTTTGACGACATGAACCTTAACACGCATTCGCTATATGCCGCCAGCTTTGAAGAATATTACCACAACTATGACATCTGTAGTAGTGTAATTAATCTCTTCCTTTTGGTAGACCCCGCCAGCCGCACAAATCGCGCAATCGCGAGGTTCCTCCCACATATCAGCCTCAACCAGGTTAACATTTTTAAAATTCACTTGGATTACATTTTTTTCAAACGAGGACGAGAAAAGGGGCAAGAAAGCCATTCCTTTTCTGTAACCCCCCTAATAGGGGAAAAGGAGGAGGGGCTAGGGGGACTCTCCAACATTTTGGCAACTCAAATGGGGATCAAAAACTGGAAGGGAAATTCTGACCAGGAAGAATCCCTAGTCAAAAATTTGACCTTCCCTAGTGATATGGATACCATCTCCAATAGTGCCAATCCCATCCTTGAAGAGGAAATCAATAGTGCCGTCCACAGGGAGGGAAGCAATTTCCCACATGGGGGCCGGCATCCGCTGGAACACGACATCATTTACAAGATAATCGAGGCCAGACTGAAATACAACATTGAAGTGAAAAATTACTTATCCAAAAGGGAGGATGAAAATAATGAAGAAATGTATAACTTCCTAGAAAAAGAACTCCTGTCATTAAATCAAATTGCAAATATGCTAAATTGTATTAGCTCAATAAATGACGATGAGAAATACATGAAACTAGTCACCATCTCATTAAAAGATATAATCCTGAGCAGACACGAAATTGTGGACATCAAAACATTCCGCCTCATAACGAAAATTCTCATTAGCATCAGAAATGTGTACCAAAATATTTTTTTCCCTTGTGAATATTCCTACTTAAATATGCTCACAAAAAATTACGTACAAGTTATGCAGAATTTCTTCCATTTCTTTCATCTCTTGGACTATTTCCAAGCTCTTCAAATATTTACAAAATATAATTTGGCCGGAAAATATTTAAAGCATTTGATATGCCTCAACGAGGAACTCAACAAAGTGCACATAAAAAATGTTAATGTCCATCTCGTTCACCTTGTTCTGTACTTTTACAGCAAATTGAATTACGTGAATGAGAAATTTATTTCCAATATCCTGCAGATGTATGCCTACTCCATCCTGCAGCAGATAAACACCGTGAACATCCATGTGGTCGAAAATTTGACTAAGACGAACGATTTGCTGCTTTCCCTTTGCGTCAGAAATAAGGACATTATACTGATAAACTATCTGCTTTTGCAACGATATGGCAATTTTTCTCGCCACTTCAAAATGGACGACAAGGATGATGTGGATAAGCGCCGGGTTACCACCTTTCCCAGTGAACAAAACGGTGTTGCACAGCTAGGCGAGGCAGAATCACAAAAAGTGGATATATCCTCCAAGCAGTTTTATTCAAATGACGAGGCTACCATTGAAAAGACAAATGGGCGAACAGATCAAACAGGGCAAACTCCTTCTACGAGGCCAAGTGGGCGTGCAAAAGGGGAAGTGCCTATAGAAGATGCTTCCGCATCTACTGTCACATCCCAGGAGCAGTATAACTCTCCTCGTAGCGAACCCGAACTAGAGGAGGATGGAAGATTACTCACACGGCGAAATCACCCCAGTAAGGGGACATATACCCATGGGCCACTCTCCCCAATCGGTCACTTCCCACAAGCCCGCTACGCGACGGAAGAAAGGAACGGAAAAGAAGTTACCACGAGTACTCTAGTTACACACACCTTCCATCTTTCTTTAACACATAAGATAAAAATTATTCACTTCTTGTGCAAGTTTCATCACTACAACGATCTGGTGAAGTCCTACTACATGCAGCTAATAAGTGAATGTCTCCAAAATACAAGCGCTCTGCTGAATGACGAAGATTACTGCAAACTGTACGAAATATATGTGCACGTAATTTTGAATTTTTATTTTCTTTCCTTCAATAAGAGTAACAAGTACATCAATTTTGTGTTAAGTAATTTGCCTTGTTATTATTGGTACAAAAAAGAGGAAGAGAAACTAAACTTGTTCGTCTCCTCCAAAGAATTTAACGACATTCAGTATGTCTTAAAATTGCTGAATTTGGATTTCCTTGCCCCGACGTTGACAGAAATTTACTTCATTCACTTTTTTAACGACGTGAAGAAGACCAACCATGCGCTTGCCATCCCAGAAAATGTCCTCCACTTGTACAAGAAGTACAATCTCGTCATCGACGACGTCCGCAATAAGAGCGTCTCCCTTTTGTGCGTCCCGGAGGAACACGTCCTGCGGTGAGGCGAGCGGCAATGCAACGGTGCAGCGACGTGGCTGGTTATGCTTAGTTGGCTATCACTCGTTGGCTATGCTTCCTTGGCTATGCGTGGTTGGCTATGCATAGTTGGCTATACCTGGTTGGCCATCCACCTGCGCCTTGTTGTGCTCACCCTCTTAGAAACCGTCCGCTTTTCCTCCCCCCCTTTCAGCGATGAACATGGTAACAACAAAAACCTCATAAACGACAGCCACTACGTTTACGAAAATATAAAAAAAACGTACCCGACTTCTTTGATATTTTTGAGCGAGGTAAGTAACCCCCCCATCCAGGAAATGAATTCCTGCACAAGCGTCGTTTCCATTAATGTACCAACGTATGCACATACAAAGCATATGCAACAAATTTTCACGAGGGAGATGCCTTCATATGCCATCACTACATATCTCCCTGTGCACAACAAAAAAAAAAAAAAAGTAAACGATTTAACAAAAATATGAACGCGGAAATGTTAATTTTTTTTTTTTTTCTTCTATCAGTGGAAGACCCTAAATGTCGAGGAAAAATGCGACTATGTCTTGCGCGCTATCCATTCTTCGCTAAACGTCTGAGGGGTGCCGCGCTTCTATTTCCCCATGATATACTTCCGGAAGTCTGAAGGCGTTTGTAAAGTTTGGGGGGCAGCGCACGAGCGCACACTCCCAAGTGTGTATGTGTGAACGTGCGTATGAGGGTATGCGTCTTTGTAGGAGTCTTTATATGCGTCTGTTCATTCCTCTGCGCATTCCTCTGTGCATGCCTCTGTGAATCTATGTTCACCCACACGTATAAACTCGCGAAAAGAACAAAGCACGAAGGCCTACATTCTACTGAATCTTCGTGTCTTTTTTGCCTCTCCCGTTTTATGCTTTCCAGCTCGACTTGTTCTGCTGCTGGGCCACCAGCAAAAAACGCCTCCACGCACCTGCACAAGGAGTTTGCATCATTTTGTGTATTCAAAGAGGAGTAAAAGAAGAAGAAAAAAAAATGCACACAATCGCGTACACCTATGTATACATGGCAGACGAGGCACGTGGTGCAGCCACTCTCAATGGGTAACCTCCGCTCGTCAGCCTTCACCGGCTTGTGGTCGAGAAACGTCAGCCGCTTCAACGTGTGCACAAATAACTTTCTGTAATTTTTGTATTTCGACATCTGGTGGAAAGGAAAAAAATAAAAAAAAAAAAAATTATAATTTAGAGCGCCAAAAAATCGGGCACACAAAATAGTGAGTAGGTACACAAATAAACAAACAGACGAGCAGTTAAAAACGAGGGTAAATCTTTTTTTTTTTCTTAATTCAGCTCAAAGGGCAATCTCTATGTAACGCCCCACAAAGGATATGCTACTCGAAATCACAACAATATAGGAAGATAAGATGCACACGAATTATTGGCGTGCCTTCCTTAACGCATTACCATCGGGTTGTTCAAGCAATACAAAATGGACAAATCTTTCACTTCGGAGAGGTCCTTTAAAATGTCCTCGTCGATACTATTATTCTGTATGTTCAAAATGGTGAGCTTCTCATTTTTGCACAAGTTAGAAATCTGTGCGGAATCTTTACTCCCCAAGCAGTTGTTACTCAAATTTAAATCCTCCAAAAGGGTTAAATTTTCTGTATAAAAAAAAAAAAAAAAGAGAGAAAAAGATTACCTCCCTCAAGAAATGGCACTTCCCTGTGTGTATGACCTTCTTGAATATTTTCCAACCAGTAAGGGGGCACACACATGTGAAGACGTACCCAGATTTTCGATCACGCAAATGTTGTTGTCTTCCAGATTTAAAATACGCAGTTTGGTTAGGCAGCCCAGGTTCTCGATCTTGGAAATTTGGTTGCAATTCAGGTACCTTCGCGGTGGAGGGGTAGGGTGGTATGGTGGTAAGGTAGTAGGGCGGCATTGTAGTGACGCGGTAGCCCGGTAAGCGGCAATACGGCGAGCCTCTACGGAAACTCTGAACCCTACGAAGACCTTTTTCAAAATCGAAGCGGCCAGAAGTTCTCTTCTCGCACAGAACACGCTGAACTGTTCACTTACAACGCAATAAGGTTCACACAGGACTCCAGTCCGGAAATCCTATCCAGGACTAAAAACGGGTGGTACGCATACGAGCTGTGTTTTTAGGAGGGGCTCGCGTGTGCGTGTCACTCTCACGGGCACAATTACTCAGGATGCACCTGCGGCTGAATCTGCGGCTGAATCTGCGGCTGCCGCTTCTACATCTCTTCCGAACCATTGTTGTTGAGGTAGAGCGTCCGCAAGTTGTGCAGACCCCGCAGGGCTTCTATCTTCCGGTACAGCTTGTTATTTAAGTACAGAACATCGTTGAGCTCGATGACCGAATAATAGGCGTCGTTTCTCTGGACCTCCCTCTCAATTTCCTGGTCGCTCAGGATGTATTCCATGAGGAGGTTTGGCGGCTAGCGAAGGTCGGTTAAAGTTGGACAGACTTTCACACGTTTTCTTGTTTTTTCTACGCGCTCCAACTGTTCACGTAGTCTAACGAGCCGAAGGGGACAATTTATCCCATCAACGAATTTTTTATCTTTTAATTGTTTGGAAACAAATTAAACAATGTGTAAAGTTTTTAAAATAAATAAAAAAAAGGTTAAGACCTTTTAAAATTATTAATAATACATAAAACGATATTACATCATTAAAGAAAAGGAATCCATGCAGATGTTAACCATTTCCATACGTACATACATCTCTGCATTAATTAGGACATATGCAATGAGTAAGAATGAATAAGGGAAGGAAAAAAAAAAAAAGAAAAAAAAAAAACGAGAAAGGAGGTAGGCAAAATTTAGGAAGCTCCAAAACCAGCAGACACTTTTTTGTGTGGCATGCGGATGGCAAAGAAAAAAAAAAAAAAAAATTAAATTAACTCTTAAAATTATTAAAAACAAACAAAATAATAAAAATTAAAGGGTTAACTCTTTTTTTTATCTTCATTCTTGCACACACAATTTTGTTATCCGTCTCTACATGGACACATTACCAAATGGCGATTGTGTCATTATTATACATATTATTTTAATAAGAATCAATTTTAAAAAAAAAGCGTAAAAAAAAAAAAAAAGAAGCAGAAAAAAAAGCAGAAAAAGAAGCGGAAAAAGAGGCGGAAAAAGAAGCGGGAAAAAAAATGGGCTTGAGAAATTAATTCAAAACGTAGGTATTGTTCACCTTCCAGATGTTATCTTCCTTCTTCTTTCTGCAAAAGGGCGAAGAGGGAGGGAGAAAAAAATAGAGTAAAACGGAGTAAAGTGAAATAAAGTAAAACGGAGTAAAGTGAAATAAAGTAAAATGGAGTAACGTAAAATAAAGTAAAATGGATTAACGTAAAATAAAAATGTATCACGCCTGTCCACGTGTACTTTTATTTTAGTAACTGCCACATACACAGGGGACGCTCACGCGTGGACGCACTAGCTGCATTACCTCTTCGAAATGGTACTCATCAGACACTTTTGGTTTTTCTTGATTCGTTCAATAATTTCGAAGGTGGTGATGCCCTGCGCGTGGAAATAAATGGTCATCGTGTTGGCGTGTGCAACTGCAAGAATAGACGAATACACATATAAAGGTAAACATACGCATCCATTTGCATGCCTTTCCATGCCATTTTTGCGCCGCCCTTACCGATTCCGAGGAGAGCTCCTGGTAGATGTTCAGTTTCTTCGGAACGGCATACGGATCCAACTCGTTGCTCGAGTAAAAATAATCTACAACGGTCCCCCTAATTACGACGTCAATCTGGAATCGCTTAATGAAGCTCTCACTGATGAGCCATGGGGCCCCTATGACTACGTCGTCCACAACCTTCATGGCTAACACATTTAGAGTCCTCTCCAGTAGGGACACGACGGGGAAGTACTTCCCTTTCATCCGCCGCACGACCTCATCGGAGTGCATGCCTACTATCAAGTAATCGCCTAACTTTTTGGCATTTTCTAATATTTTTAAATGACCAATGTGAAAGATATCAAACGAGCCATCCACATATACTACTTTTTTCTTGGTTTTTTTTTCATGGCTTTCCATGAACTGATACAACTGAGATGCCGTTACGTAACATTTATTCTTTCCTAAGGCGTGTTTTAAACTGGATATGGACTCGGATGGCCTAATTTTGTTGTCCGCCACCGCTGATGCTTCCATGACAGTGGTTTCGTCTTCGAATTCTTTCGAATTAGTTTTAATTTTTTTACTGAAATTACTTTTTTCACCTGTGCCGTTAGGGCAATTTCCGTTACTATACGGGAGCGACGCTTTGTCGTCCTCATTGTTATTGGAATTCAGGTTGGCAGTATTTCTGCTAGCAGCGTTCGTACTGGCGACGTTTCCTCCAGCACTGGCCATATTGCTTACCACGCCGCTTCCCACCACGCCAATCGCTGCGTCCCCCTCGGGCAGGCTCTTATTGCCACTGTTCACCGCCTGTAACAAATGGTTAATTATGGTCGTGGTGGAAATCCCATAACTTCGCTCAAATATTTTTAACCTGTTGTTTTTTCTAACCTCCTCATAACAACAATTACCATTTCGATCATATGCAATGTCACTACCATGGGCAGCGTAATCGCAATTGTATTCCCCCAACAGCTCCATACTGACGTTATATTTGGTACCTATAATAACTTCGTCAACCCACTTACACCCGGCTATCAATGCCCCCCTTTCTTCTTGAGTATATATAGGCATAACTCCCTTGGAGTTTAGGGCATCTTCATCCGAGTTTATTCCAACAACCACGACGTCACCTAACTGTTTCGCTTGTCTCATGGCATTAAAATGACCAGAATGAGACAAGTCGAAGATCCCATCAACATAAATTCTTGTAGCTTTATTTTTCTCATTATTAGCTGTGTTCATGTCAATATCAAATTCGTTAATTTCTTCTGAGCTATTGGAGAGGGAACCACTGAGGTCCTTCGCTTCTTCATACAAGTTGTTACTGCTATCCATCAGAAGGTTGTTGTTACACCTACGTACAATTCCTATGTGTTTTCCAATAGTCATCAGGTTGACATTATTCTGGTTGCCACGAGCACCTCCTCCTCCCCTGTTGTTCTCACTAAGCTTACTACTCACACTTTCGTCATTGCTAATATGACTCAATTCATTCAGAAATATTCGAAAAGTCTCGTCATCGTCCTCTATATTGCACTTTTCACACACCTGGCATATCAAATCCAGCTTGTTGCTCTTATTTAGGCTTCTCAGTAACCCTAGTACCTTTCTCAAATTCCCATGGTTATAAATTGTGTTAACTAAAAACTCGTTCCTCATCATCTTGGAATGTATAGGCGAACGGCAGCGTGCACACACGTGTGCGCGTATGTATCGATGGACGTATATAAATATACGTGGGGGTGGGTACACATGTACGAGCAGGTACACATGTATGAGTAGGGACACACATATGAAAAACACAAGTAGACTATACTCTCATAGGCAAGCACTCGGTTGGTAGAGCTTCTCGCTTAACCCATGCTTCCCGACTATGATGCGCTCAAAAAACACGCAGAGGTATCGAGGCAGATGCACCCCCCACTTAACTCGTCCAGGAATTCGCCAGGTACAAAAAAAAATCAAAAAGTAGCGAAGGGTGCCACGCAAGAAGCGATCGAGGATGGGGAAAAAATAAGGAACTTGTGAAAAAAATTATGTATGATGGCTGCTTAGCACAGGAAATATATGCCGCACGAGGGCTCTTTCAGGGGGCACAGTGACCATACATATAAATACATATATTATGGCAGCACACTAGGGGAAAAGAAAAAAAACAGACAAAACAGACAAAAGACGCAGAAAAGAAAAATAACTACGAATCTTTTAGGAGAAGGTGTGTTTACTCCTCTCCATCTCCCCACACGTTGCACATTTGCTCTCACATATGTTCATTCTACATTCAAGAAGAGGTGCATATGTTTGTATGGAACTACTTCTATGGTTACGCAGAAGAATCTCCGGTTTGACCAATCACACTGCTCCGATGGACGCGCAGTTCGGATCGCACAGAGAGTGAGGCATAAATATATGGGCACCTAAATAGGCGTATTGCTCACAGATACAAACATAGGTATTCCCACCTGCACAGATGCAGCGCGCTTGGCACACGTACACATTTGCATAGGCACATGTGTTCCGTCAAACGTCGCTGGAGGTAAAACCACTAATCTAATTACTTCCTCTCTATATATGGCATTATTTTGCTAACTTCAAAATTCCAAAATGTGAAAAAAAGTTGGCGCAAATGGGGTGGTCGCACGTAGGCAGATTTGAACGTGTCGTGAAAAAAGGGGAAGAGGCATATAGTGGCAGAGACGCCAAGCAATAGAGGTGAAATATGGGCGCTAATTTTGCACAAAATGTAGCATAGCACAATGGGAGGTAGTAAAATAAAGCGAAATGAATGTACTGGGTGAATGTAGCAAGGATCACGGGTTTACAAATACACACTTTGGGAACAATGCACGCATCTCCTAGCCCACGCATTCGGCGTAGGCATGTGAATAAGCGTAGCAAAAAATGGAATGGGTAAAGAAAAATGGGGACCACGGAAAATATGGAAATCTCATGACATGGGGTCACGTTAAAAATTTTGCAAGCATGAAATGCCTATTCTTATATCGGGCGTGCAAAGGCGCTCGTACTTGCGGCTGCTGAACATGTGCGTATGTGCATGTGTACACGACTTAATGTATGTACATACAAGAACACATATATGTGTACGTAAGTATGACACATGTACATATATGTACACGGGCGTGCACGCTCTACGGGGTGCGTTGACTGGGAGTACCCTTCGCGACGCGCTGTTTACTCAGTTACATTGTTTCACAGTGACGGGCGGCAGATTTGCATGCCCGTACGTATACACATAGGTATATTATGCACGCGTGTTTATGTACGTAGAGGCTCACACGTGTGATGGAAATTTTCGCGCACGCGCTGCTCAAACCAAAAAGGTGATTCTTCGTTACGCCCGTGCATTCCCTGTGCAATCATGTTTAGGCACGTACACATGATGCAAGGGGCAAAGGGGCAGTGGTTATAAAACTCGCGCGGAGTGTAAATGACTCTTAAATGAGTTGCGTGTATATGAAGGGGGGGATGATGAGAGAAATGGTCAAGATGAAGCGATCTGCAAAAAACGAGCTGCATAAACGAACCACGAAAAACGAACCACGAAAAACGAACCACGAAAAACGAACCACGAAAAACGAACCATGAAAAACGAACCATGAAAAACGAACCGCGAAAAACGAACCGCGAAAAATGAATCGCAAAAAACGCAATGAGGAAGGGGGCAAAAAAAAAAAATCACGTCGCTCCTCACACTACACAGAGATGTTTTATAAAATTTATGAGGGGAAAGCAATTTCTGGCGGGTGTTTTTTTTTTTTAACATCAGGGGGAAATAATTTTGCTCCTTATATAAATAAAACGTGTTTTAATTCTGGTAGCAAGTGGAGGAAGTAAAAAAGATATACACAAAATGAATGCCAACAACATGCAAATTGATGTCTATCTCTTTGTGCGTATACACGAATGTATACATATCTGTGTACATAATGGTGTAGAAGCACAGTTCGCGCGCACGTCCATGCGTACAAAATATGCGTAAAACTTCTGCGCGTAAAATTGCACTAATTTTTTTAACAAAGAAGAGTCTATGCAAATGTATATATGAATGTGGTCGCATAAATTATATGTGTTAAAGTCAAACGTGAAAGCGCCAAAACGTGAAAGCGCAAATATGTGAAGGCGCAAAAACGTACAAACGAACAAACGCGCAAACGCTCATATATATATCAGTTGGTTATATATATGGCTCTCTGTACAACATTCCATGTAGGAAAAGCAACATGTTGCATCGTGTAGAGGTATATACATTTGACTATTCAGGTACCACTGCCATGCTGTCATGCTGCCATTCTGTTGTTCGGCTATTTCGCAATTTAATTCATTGCAACTTTGCATGTTTACTATTTATATATGTTCATCCCTACTAAGTGAACTCTTTCAAGGAATGCAAATAAAATTTAGGTTTCATTACAGAAATGTAAAAGGGAAAAAGAAAAAAAAGAAGAAAAAAAATAAGAAGAAAAAAAAACAATTAAAAACGTGAAAAGCTCGTTATAAAAACTACCATCCATACTTCTCATAATTTTAAAAACAAGAACATCCCATAAACAAGTACATGTATTGTTATATGTTATTTATAAATGCGTTGTACATATAAATATGAGAAAAATATGCATAAGCTAAAAATGTATGTTTTTTTATAATGAACGGAATATGCGGCTGCTCTTCGAGGGGCGTCGCAGCAGTTTTTTTTTTTTTTTTTTTTGTTCAGCGGGGAAAGATTGTACAAGAGGTATTTATTATCTACATATCTATAATATGTAACAACATATAATAATCACATCACTTAACGGCTCCGTAGAGCACGTACAAACATTTATCCACAGATGCAAACAATGGCCATTGTTTATACATATTTGTTCATTCATAATATATAGGCACTAGTGGACAATCTAGTGCTATCATGTTAAGAGGCCCCCGGCAGGAAGGCAACGTCAAACTACGCCCCTGTGCACGTAACGTTACGAATATGAGTATATATATGGGACTTTCCAACTGCTTCACCTTTGACCAAATAAGAGATATCTTCGTCACTTATTTTATTTTATTTTTCCCTGTAAAAAACTATCCTGCTGCTGAGAAGTACATAAATAAACATTTTTGTATGGTATGTGATCGTTTATGTATTTACAACATATACATGCGTCGCTTATAAACACTGGTGTACTTTTTTTTGGGCGCGCTTTTTAGTACGACCTCCACGGAGTGCCTATTTTCGCCCCGTTAAAAGAAGGCGTTCTGGGGGCGGAACAACTTTTCTCTTCAGTGTTATTATGGTACATATATTAGGCGCATTTTTCTAAGGTCCTTTTTTTTTGACACCTATGAAGAGGAATAATTAAGGGGCGTGAGTGAGTTACTACCATGTAACCACCATGTAATGCATTGGCCATTTCGTGCAATAACCAATTCGTAACATTTACTATGATGAGTTTTACAAAATTAGCAAAGGAAAGGATAAACAGATGCGCACATACATACATGCATGCAGAACTTATACACTGCGTATTCATACCTATATAAAAAATAGGCCTATGTGCCAAATCTAACTTAACCTGAAAGTCTAGGCCAATGGTGTTGACTGGGCGAGGGACTAGTGCACCGATTTTTATGCTGAACCTTCACAAAGGGGTAGTGAATAATTAATGTGACTGAATCTTCTCGCCTCACCCATTCTGTTCGCTTCACAAAAAGGGTTATATGCCAGTAAATACAACCATGCACCCCGGATAAGTGCAATATATCTATTTTTAGGAAAGATTCGTTCGCCATGCTCCTTTGCAACGTTTCCCCTCGGCGTAAGCTACCAATGCGTGTGCACAATTGGTTCGGTTCCTCATGGCGCACCCACCGCTACAACTCTAGTTCCGAAAGGGGGCTTATCAAAGGTTGGGAAGCGGTGCAAATGGGAATTATTCGCACCACTGTGTTTAGGAACAAACGGGGCTTTCCTAACTCTCCTTTTGTGTTATCGTAACGGGGAAAAAAAAAAGAAAACAAAACAAATAAACAAATGAATCTATTCATATATGAATAAGCAAGGCAAAGGAGATGACATCACCACCTCCTGCGAGTTAAAAATCCGTCCCTTGGCTCTTCTCCCAAGACCGAAAAAAGGGAAATTCACCCTCCACTTTCTTCCCCCTTCCCCCCACAAGAACGTGGAAAGGACGCAAAACTACTAGTTCGCGTTGACACCATAGCACCGGAAGCTGCATAGCAGTTATGCACACCAACGTTTAATCGCGGGTCATCACTTATGCTAACATAACGGTACAATTATACTGGCACTTTGGTAATTCGTCGGTCGCTGCCAACGCTTAATGCGAAAAATTAAAGCTTCCCACAAGGATGACCCGTTTTTCCAACTTTTTCGCTTGCTAGGCATTAACCAAGAACAGGGAAATAACACAGCAAGAGCCCAATCCAAAATGGTGCATTTCATTTGTGTTGACTCAGTCTATGCGAAGAAGCCTCCATTCGTGAGTGCACATGCCCCTGAGCATATGCAAGTGTGTGCGTTACGCGGTCCGCCCCGTTAGGCAAGCAAAAATAATTAGCTCATTTATGTTGCGAAAGAACAGATGAACCATCGTGCAGAATGCCCGATCTTAAGAGGACATTCTACGCGCATGCACGAT